CTCTACCACTTGAGACACAGCACCACTTCCGGCTTTTTTTTTCTGCTTATGTGGTGCTGAGGAATCGAACCCAGGGCCTCAGGCATGCAAGGCAAGCACTCTACCACTGGGCCAACTTCCCAGCCCCTCCTGCATGATTTTTAGTGAGATTATTTCAAGTAGGTTCCAAGTAATGTTATATTTAGGTAAGCTATTGTTTACTAAATGAAGGGTATCTTTTAGGACAAGCCTGCAATCCCTCAGTTCTAGCCAACATCATAGCCAAAGCTAATTACTGTGTGTGAGTGTGTGTGCTTGAACTCAGGGCCTTATGTTCTTCCTTCACTTTTTCACTTAAGGCTGGCATTCTACCACTTGAGCTGTACCTCCACTTCTGGCTTTTTGCTGATTAGAGATGAGTCTCTTAGCTCTGTCTACTGGCTTTGACAGTGACTGTCCTATCTCAGCCTCCTGAGTAAGTAGAATTACAGGTATGAGCTATGAGTCACTAGCTCCAAGCAAAGCTATGTACCTCCATAAAGCATTGATACTATAAAAAATCATCCATTAAAATTCTAACAGAGCACATGAAAGGAGGAAGGGAGGGTGAGAAAATGCAGACATTAAATACAATGTACATTACATAAAAATTGAACTATAGAACTTAAGGGTAGAGATGGGAGGGGAAATAATGAGGGAGAGCAATCAAAGAGGTGGCACTGATCAAGAAGCATTGTACTCATGAGTTATGGAATTGCAACCTCTTTGTGCAACTACTGATGTGAACATTTTTTTTTGGGGGGGGGGGGGAGGAGTCTGGTCATAGGGCCTGAACTCTGGGCCTGGGCGCTGTCCCTCAGTTCTTCAGCTCAAGGCTAGCGCTCTACCACTTGGGCCACAGCACCACTTCCGGCTTTTTTTCTTTTTGCTTATGTGGTGCTGAGGAATCGAACCCAGGGCCTCATGCATGTCTACCACTGAGCCACCTTCCCTTTGTACAACTACTGAATAAAAAGAAAATTCTAACGTAAGTCTACACAAAATACTTACCTGATGTATTGCCAGACCCATGCAAGCCAAAGTTTTCTCAGGTGCATCCTTTAGTTCATTTGCTATATTTAATACTTCATCTTCTTTTGTCAAATCTTTAAAATCCACCAAAATACTTCCCTTTCTTTCTATTTCATCCTATAAAAGATTAAAGCTTGAAAGTAACAACTGCTTTTATGGAGTCAATTATCACAACTTAACATTCAATTGTACATTCTGAGAAAGCAAGTAACGTTTATATAGCTCTAATGCTTAAGTACTATATAAGCTTTGTGCCAAGTATTGTCTTAACATTTAAAATATATTGACTTATTATGCCTTTTAACAAACCTCTACTATTGTACTATCTCCAACAGATAGATGAGAAAACTGAGGCACAGAAAAGTAACTCACCAAAGTGCACACTGAAGGTAAATGGCAGAGATGGGATCTGAACTGTCTAACATCAGTGTGTATGATCATAACCACTAGCATGTCACATATACTGTTCAATTAAACAACACATAATGGTAGACTAGTAGCTTGGTTGAAGAAGAATCTTACCTTATCATATAAATCAATACGTCTCATGAAAAAATTTTCAAACACTTGAATCTTCTCAATAAAAGGAGAGCTATCACTGTAAACTAACCCAACAAACACGGCATTAGCATTAACAAGCATATTTGTACAAGCTAATATTCATGAGACAATAGAAGCACTATAAATGGGGTAGCATTTTATCCTGGACATTAGGTAAGAACTGGTGTGAATACATACTTAAGATTTTAAAACAAGATGAAGTCCACATAATCTGAAATGTAGATAGGAAGCATCTATCTGTTAGAAGTCCCAATATCGGGGTAACTTTGTATTGAGTCTTTTTTTTTTTTTTTGAGTCCAGTCGTAGGGCCTTAACTCTGGGCCTGGGCGCTGTCCCTCAGCTCTTCAGCTCAAGGCTAGCACTCTACCACTTGAGACACAGCACCACTTCCGGCTTTTTTTTTTCTGCTTATGTGGTGCTGAGGAATCCAACCCAGAGCCTCATGCATGCAAGGCAAGCGCTCTACCACTGAACCACCTTCCCAGCCCCTGTATTGAGTATTAAGTTCTTAAGTACATACCAGTTCAAACAACATACAAGAAGCTTAATAATGAAAAATCAAAATTAAGTCAAAGCTAGACACATGGTCTAAACTTTTACTGAAAGAATTAAGATCTCATAGTCATTGCAAAATGAATTCTACTAGTCTAAATTGCCCCTCAAACCCTAAAGCTAGTTTTTGTTTTGTTTTGTTGGTTGTGGAGCTAGAACTCTGGGCCTGGGCACTATCCCTGAGCTCTTTAGCTCAAAGCGAGTACTCTGCCACTTGAGCCACAGCACCACTCCCAGTTTTCTGGTGAATTGGAAAGTCTCAGAGACTTTCCTGCCTCAGCTGGCTTTGAACCATGATCCTCAGATCTCAGCCTCCTGAGTAGCTAGGATTACAAGCATGAGCCACTGGCAAATGGCCTAAAGTTACTTTTTTAACATCCTAATCTGTATTTTCAAAATGTCCTTTTACAGAAAAATTGTACAATGAAGTAGTTTGGAATTACAGCTAGGTCAAGCCAAACACCAGTCCAAAGATCATTCATAGTGTTTGAGCTAACTATTAGGGGAATAATGCAAATATTTGTGATTGATGTGTCCTAAAGCAACAAAAGATCATCTATTAAATACACCTGTTATTTAACAGAAAAAGACTCCCAATTCACAGAATATTGAGTGCCTAATATGGGATTCCGTGCACACACACACACCCTAACAAAAATAAAACACATACCTCTTAAGAGACATAGACATAGACACTATGAGAGCATTCACCAAGCAGATATATGATATGGGCCAGTGGTGTTTTTTGGGTTTTCTTTGCCTGTCGTGGGGCTTGAACTCTGGGCTTGAGCACTGTCCCTCAGCTCTTCAGCTCAAGGCTAGAGCTCTAGTGGTAACTCGAGCCACAGCACCACTTCCGGTTTTTTCTGCTTATGTAGTACTGAGGAATCAAACCCAGGGCCTCATGCATGCAAGGCAAGTACTCAACCACTGAGCCACCTTCCCAGTCCCTGGCCAATGCTCTTAAGTCCTTAACAGTGCTTCTATGTAAACCAGTGCTGGTTACCTGCTCTAGACCCCTAGACTCTCATTGCTTCCTTCTATGTGATGACTGAAGTCTGCTCTCTATTATCATTAAGTTCTGCCAATTAAAGGTGCTCTAGAGTGGAGGGGGCAGGAAACGTGTAGAATTTATTCTCATCTTAATTCTTTTCAGCATCTCCGTAGCTGTAGTTCTAGCTTCCAGGTGCAAGCAATACCTGAGTCATTCCCTGTTACAACCACCCTCATTCCCCTCAGTGGTCTAGCACACCTTTCAGGCACAGCTATGCTATATTTCCACCTGTGAATTCCTAGACTTTGGTGACCTCAGCAATTCCTTTGTTCTCTCAATCATAGAGAGTTAACTTCAGGACTTTTTTTTTAAGTCTCAGACCAAGACTCAAACTCTGTACCTGCCCCTTTCACTCACTGGCTAGCACTCTACCAATGGAGCCATGCCTCCAACCCTAGGACTACTGATTCTCGAAGTTTCTGCTTTCTGGGAGGTTACCTAAAAGTTACCTTTCTTCTTCTCTATAAGTATATTAAATACCTTTTTTAGAAATACCTAGCATGATTTCTGTTCTCCTGATGCAAAAAAGAACAACAACAAAAAAAAAAAACCTATGCTCTTTGATATGAACATGATTTGTTTGGAAGATTAACGAATATAGTCAAATGAACTATAGTAACATAAGATGCAACATTCAAAGGTAAGTTGAGGAAATACAAAACGGATGTTATTTTTTGCACTTTTAACTCACCTTCAGAGAAATAAAGCTTCCAGCCTTTATATGGTATGAACTGATCCAATGTTGACTGCCATAAAGGCTGTGGAGTTTGCCCTGAAAAAAATTAAATTAATAAAATTATAAAAGCATATTTTCCCCAATTTTTCTCCTTTCAACAAGCACTGTATATGAGATAAAGCATTTAAATTATTTCCCATAGGAATTTTGAGTATTAACTTTTAAATACTTGCTCAGGTGTGACATCAACTGAGTTAGACTGAACTTTCAGTTAAACTGCCTAGGCTGCTAGGAATGAATTACTACTTTCACGAAAGAAAATATATTAACCGTCATTGACCTCACCTACCAGGAGAATGTTTTCCCACAGTTTTATTCAGATCAGGTCTGTGTTCTCTTTCTTTCCATTTTCCTGAGACATTCCCACCACCTCTTCCTTTTTTCCAGCTTTGAAATCGTCCTCGTCCAAATCCTCTGCCTCTATACCCTCCATTCATGTCTTCTGAAAGATATAAAGGGATGAGAGGGAACTTCATCAAAACTGTAGTGCTCTTAAATTTATTAATGTGAGTGTAGTGGCTCACACCTGTAATCCCAGGTACAGAGGAGGCAAAGATGGAGACCATCAGGATGAGTTAACATGACCCTAACTCAACAGTCAGCTATGTGAAAGGAGGACCTCAGTCAAGAGGCGAGCTTGCACTAGCCTCTTTAGTCTTGCATCAAAAGTGCAAGACTCTATCTGAAAAAGAACTAAAGCAGAAAAATCTGGGAAAGCACAAAGTCCTGAGGTTCAAATCTCTGTATTGGGGGGGGAGTGTTTATATAGTTAAAAAGGGGGGGAGAATCAATGTATGCCATGTTTGAGATTAGCATACGGGTTTGCAAAAGTTGTATACAACTGTATAATTCAAATTTTCTGCAGTTATTCCTTTCTTATCTCTTTTTAAGACGTATCATAGATGTTCAATTAAGCTTATTCTAAGTGTTGGTGGAATAAAAAAAAATTTTAAGGTACTGCATTTGTACCAGTTTTCAAGGTTACCATGATACAGATTGACTGTAAGACAATTAACTCTATGATGACTTGTTTGTAGTGGCGAAATATAGGGAGAATTGGCTTAACATAAACCTAACCTGTAAGACACTAGGGAAAAATTATCATAGCTCCCTACATAATCAGTCCTTCAGCGTCAAACTCATTTTCTGTAAACCCAACACTATTCTCAAAAGGAATTATTTGAAAAAGAAAACTCATGTAGGGCTGGGAAGGTGGCTCAGTGGTAGAGCGCTTGCCTTGCATGCCAGAGGCCCTGGGTTCGATTCCTCAGCACCACATAAGCAAAAAGAAAAAAGCCGAAAGTGGCGCTGTGGCTCAAGTGGTAGAGCTCTAGCCTTGAG